ATATTTCTGAACGAGGATGCATCTACTATCTCCTACATTTGCAACCATGATGTGATCGGAAGTAAGGATCGCCATGACTCCGGTCGATCCTCCATGTTTGACGCTATTTCCTTTGCATAATTTTGCTTTCAAGTTGGTATCAGCAGTAGCACAAGCGTTGGTAATTGAAACTTTCAAATTTTCAATGTCACCATTGTAGCTTTCCCACTCAGAAGTGGAAGTGAAATATGGAATAATTCGTTCTGCTACATACTCTGAAGATAAACCTCCATCTCCATGACCATCAAACACTCCAAAGAAACCTACTTGATCGCATTTGCTGGGAGGCATAAGAGGATATGCATGACAGATAGCATCTTCCATATCAATTCTATGCCCAGGCATATCAGCAAATCCAAAAGTAAGATCCATTGGTCTCAGGTTTCTCTTCCTCCGATGAGAAGCACTACCAGTTCTGAGAAAAGCAGGGGTCCTTTCTCCATAAACACTTTTATCTCCTGGACTAAAGAGAGCATCGCGCAGCTGATCCATGTTCTTCCTCGCCCTCGAATCTCTGCTAGTTGCAGCCCAACCAAGTGGAGTTCGTCCTGTCAAATCGGTAGGCGCATGATAACCCAAAGGTTCCACTCCATACCTTTCCTTCATTTTTTCCTTTAATAATTCAACAATTTTCACATGACCATGTTCTCCTGCAATATGCAAAGCCGTTCTACCTTGTACATCACGCGCATCTAAATCAACAGCATACACATCGTCAACAGAAGCTTTGTCTACACCATCTTCTTGTTCAACAGTAGGAATCTTAAAATCAATCAGAATTTCAGCTACTTCATAATTTCCCACCAAGGCGGTAGTATGAAGTGGAGTAAAGCCATCTGGCACCAAATTCCCCATGTTACATGCTCGAGCATTGGCCAAAGTATGATCTTTCTTCAGCATCTTCTTTACTTTCTTGAGCTTTTTCTCATTCAATGTCGTACCTGACGCACAGAAACTATGAAAATTCTTTCGCTCCTCCCACACGGCTGTCGGTGAATGCATCGAATATGTCAAACCTCTGGATGCTTCTAATGCCAGTTTCTCCACTTTAGGCTCTACTTTCAGTTTACTGGATGATGGAGAGAGAAACGACGGCTGTCGTGTCATCTTTTCGGATGCATCTTTCATTGGTGTTGCAAACTCGCCATCTTGTTGTTCATCACTCTTTGATTGTGACTCTTGTAATGATTGATGTGGTATCGGGGTAGGTGACGAAGTCTCAGCAAAGTTTGGGTCAGGTGCAATTATATTCCAGAACCTTCCTGCGAACAATTCTCTCTCGGCTGTTTCTTCTTGTTCTTCGAATTGAGGGTCGGGCGCCACAATTTGACCTAGCCCTCTATGCAACCACTTACTAAACATTGTATGGCTCTCAAAGTTATGGGTTTATCTCGCGAAGTATAATCAGTACATTAACATGAAAAGAGATGAGAGAGTGAGTGATAGTTCTTTTTCTTTTCTCACTTCTCACTAGACTACTCTCATGTTTGTGTGAGATGATGAGCCATCAATAAAACGGCTCTTTTGGTTCGGCTAGATACCTAGTCAGATAAGAAGAAACTTTCATCATCGTCATTGTCCATTGCATCTTACCGTACATTTTTACTGAGTTCTAAGTAGTATGATACTACTTACAAGATGATGAGAACTACCTTATTAATAAAATTTAAAATTATATTCTCATCACGCTAGTAATGACAACTTTCAGTGGTCGTAATAGCCCCATCCTATCCCATTTTTACTTCATTCCATTGCTGAAGAATTCCTTATCCAAGTCGTCAAAATATGGATGGTTCAAAGCATCTTTTGCTGTGATTCTATCCTTTGGACTATACATCAAAAACTTTTCGAGCAAATCTAATCCTTCTGGTTCGAGATTCTCCAATACTGTCTTGCTATATGGAGATTTGTACCATTTTGGAAATGCTGCGTTCCAATCTGGTAAACTTGTCACTCCTGGCCAAACCTCCTCATTTGGAGTTCCCAATTGCCGAAAGATTTTGTATAGTTGATCAATTTCACTGTCTCCTGGGAATAGCGGTCTCTTGGACACCATCTCGACAAAGATTGTTCCAATGGCGAATACGTCTACTGGTGGAGCGTATGTTTGCGATCCCAACAAAATCTCTGGGGGTCTGTACCAGAGTGTTACAACTTCATGCGTCAATGGACGGATTGGTGGACAAAAGGCTCTTGCAAGTCCGAAATCTGCCAGTTTCAAGCATCCTTCTTTCGATACAAGTAGATTCTGTGGTTTGAGATCACGATGCATAACTCCCCTAGCGTGACAAAATGCTAGCCCTAGACAACACTGATACAAATAACTCTTCACAAGATTTGGTTCTAGCAATCCATTTACAGAATCCATGTATTTCTTCAAGTCTTTGTCAAGGAATTCAAACACGAGATAAAGTCTTCCATCTTCCTGCACACAATCCCTAAGGTCGACAATGTTGGGATGTGATAGTTCACGCAAAAGAGAAATTTCTCTCAGTGCTGTCGATGGAATTCCTTCATCTTCAATCTCCAGTCTGATTCTTTTTAGTGCTACAATTTCATTTGTTTGCTTGTCCGTAGCTTTGTAAACAACGCCATCTATGTTATATGAGTGTGATAAAATTAGTTTTGCTGGTTTGAAAAGAAACAAAATGAAAACGAACCCAAACATTTTTCAAAATGATAACTTACAGGTTCCTGCTCCCAGATCAGATCCTGGCTTTTCAATCTTTTGATAACTATGGAAAAGATCTTGTTAGAGAATGCGTAAAAGAATGGCCAAATTCAAAAAGACTGCACACCATTCGCAAAAATGACGCTTCTGTTGCAATTCCAATGAAAAGATAAATAATCAGAGTCTACGCTCCATATATGCACTTACCGCTCCATGTTTTCAGCTCTTTTAAACTTTGGTTGAAACAAAGAGATCTATTCCAGTAGTGAATTTTTCTTCAATAGAATATGGAAAGTATCTGATAGGTGATACAGAGAGGTTGTAACTTCCAACAAAAGTATCGTTGGATGCTTTTCTCACATATTTTGAACAATATTTTTGGTGTCGAAAAAGGCCTTTTTCATCGGCAGGAAGCGAGATGGGACTAACGAATGTGGACTGTGGACCATTGATTTTAATTTTCTTTTGCAATAGGGAAGTTACCACCTAATCCCGAGTAGCATCCTATTTATCAAATTAAAAGCACCAGACCTCCCTACCTACAAGAAATTTTCAAACCATGAAAGAACTGATTTCACACAGTGGACCGTGTACAGTGGTCGGTCTCAACGATCAAGCCTTTGCAGCCATCCAATTGAACGATAAAGTGCAAGTCGTGAAGCTATGCCCACCTGATCTTGAAGCAGATAAAAACATTGCGGATCCAAATACTATCCAGGCAGTTGCTGTAAATTATATCGAAAAGGAGAAGAAATTGCAATGTGCGGTCTCAAGAAGTAGCAAAATGCTCTCTATATTTAACTTCACCATGGAAGACGTTGGTAAATTGAACTCAGACGCCAAGCCTAATGTCATACACAAGTTAAATAAACGATCAGCAGCGCTTACATTTACATCTATTCCTAATGAAGGAGATGGACAACTGGAAATAATCATTGCAGCAGATCTTGCAGGTGACGTATATGCTTTCCCTACTGATTCCAGCAGCGATGATAAAAAGAGGCTTATGCTTGGTCATACTGCTAGTATGTTGACGTCAATCAAGGTTCATGACAACAAAATATTCACTGCAGATCGTGATGAAAAAGTTCGGATTTCGGGATTCCCAAATACATATGATATTCATGGATTCTTGCTCGGTAATGAGGAGTATATTACTGATGTAGAAGTTATGCAAGACAAACTATGTGTTACTACAGGTGGAGACGGTTCCATTAGATTATTCAACTATGAAACCTGTCAGCAATTGTTTTGCATGAATCAAAATGATGGCGATGACAGTAAAAAGATGATACCAGTTCGCGTGGCTGCTACCAAGGATGGAAAAATGATTGCAGTCATTTACAATGAAGAAAACTTTGTCGATCTCTTTCATATTACGAGTAATGAAGACAGCTATGGAATGGAAAAATTCAAGTCTTTAGCCTGTGAGACTCCTCTAGCAATTACATTTGCAAACTCAGATTTATTGGTATTGTGTAAAGAACCTTCTTATATGATTCGTTTCACTTCCAATGACGGAAAATTCGATGGTACACAGGAATCATGTGAGATTAGCAAGAAAGTTGAAAAAGCGGGAGGCGAAAGTGGTGTCGAGATGCCTGCAACAATATTGGAGACTGATAGTACAGGTGAAATCAAACTAAAGAAAAATATCAAGGAAGAAGGAGAGGGTTATGTAGAGCACAAACCTTGGTTGAATGGAGAGAGAAAATTAAAGAAGAAGGAAAAAGACAAGAGACGGAAGAAGAGGAAGCTTGAAGAGAAAATAGCGTCTGCAGATGAAGCTAATAACTAATCTAGTTTTCAATTGTGAAGACGTATTGAATTGTTGACTACTCTAGATAGAGAGTTAGAGTAGGTAGGTATATTTGACTGATTCTAGACAAGTGGAAGGTATCCTATTGTTTCCACATACTCGTTTGTAGACAGGAGTTTCAGCCACTTATATGAAGTAATTAGGCCCATGTAAAATCACAATGCGTAAAAGAATAACAATTATATGTATACATATATTACAAAGTTGGTTCCAAATGAGAAATGTAACATAAAAATTCCAATGACTAGCCGCTAAGAGTAAACCGTAGGCTCGATGGGGTCTGGATTCATCTCAAACACTTCACAAAACTGTATTCAATGGATCCAAGTCGTTGCGAATTGGAGTTGAAGCTTGATATTGGAAATATTTAACTTTCAACCGAAAGAAAAAATAAAGAGGAAATCACGACAAAATTTAGTAAAAATTATAATAGAGATCAAATCTTGCAATATCGCATGTATCAGCAGCTCAGCTCGTATGGCGCAGTGGTAACGCATTTGACTTGTAATCAAAAGATCCCATGTTCAATCCATGGTGCGAGCTCAAACTTTTTCCTTTTGCTTCCTTATAACATCTCCTTTTGTTGCTCTTGATGCCCTTGATCGATAGAGCAAAGAACGAAAGGAATAGAGCTCATAGTTATTGAGATATGATACTTTTAATTTTGACCTCGTCAACGGGTTCAATCCCCACTCATTTCCTATCTTTGATTCTTTTCTTCAAGTTACATTTATCTTATCTTGTTTCATTTCGCTTGATGTTGCATCATCCTGTCTGCGTTGGATGTTTCAATGCTTTTAATTCCTCATTCGTGTTTTGTGAGGGAAAAAATAACCGGTAAGCAAATATAACCGTTATGAGTTATGAAATCTTCCTTGCTTCTTCGCGTTTTTGTATGTATGAATGTAACTAACCTTGGAGTAGGTGCAAATATTTTCTCTTTTGATAAACGCTTTATAGATTATTATGGTATGCAGTACTTGCTTTTTCTTACACGAATACGACTATCCACATAGTATCTCCTATTCCCAAATAAGAGTTGACGGACTCATACCATCGCAACTATTTTACTTCACATGGAATTCTTCAGCCCATTGCCAAGAATCCTACTATTGAAAATATTCCCCTTTTTCACAAGCTAACTTTCTCCAATTGATCTGAGGGCATCTGCTCGACCAGCTGCTGTAGCTTTTCAAAGTTTTTGTCTGCTTCTTTTTTGCTTTGTTTGATGGACGCATTTTTTCTTCCACGCCCATCCCAAGGTACATCAGAAACGAAACTAAATTGAACCTCATTTGCTACAAACAATATCATAATTACACCTTTTGCTTGACATTCTTCAATTTTTTCTCGACCTTCTCTAGAACCAAAAGTAGCAAGTTTGTTATTTGCTTTATTGAATTCAGAAATTGGAATGACTTCGTACTTCAAAAGTTTGGTAATTTGACCAATCGCCTTTCCCGTTTTGAAGTGAACAATAATTCGATGAGTTTCGTACATGTGTTTCTTACTGAATAGCTGCAAAGCATTGAGTGCAAATTTACAATAGGCTGGGCTTTGTTTCAAATTCCCAACTTGAATCAAGATGTTACTTTCTCTAATAGCATTCCACCCCTCGAACAACTTTGAATGCAGACGATTCTTTGCAGATAATGCACTGACATCATTCATGCTGTGGATGGAGTTAGAGATATGATCAAGTTCAGTTCTTTGTATACCAACAGGGGCTACACTTGTAAACTTTTCCCCCAATTCTTTGCATGTCAAAAATGCAAAATGTATGAGGACCTTGTCAGGGTAATTACGATAGCAATCCCTACCATTTTTATATGAACTTTGAATGCCTTCTTTCCTTGTCTGTCCAAACTCAGAAATCAGGACAGCCTTCGGTTCCTCTAGTAGGACGAAAGTTTCGGCATTGTAATCGAATTCAGCTTGTATGAATACAGCTTTATCTGGCGGCTGTTGTAGAACACCATTCTTCTTGAGGGCATGATACACGGCAGCACCGATAATAGCTGCTGATTGCAGTGCCCATTTTTCAAGTAGACTTTGAATTTTCATCTCAGTTGAATTTGATTTGCTTTTCAACCTTTCCTTGGCGTCACTGTTGCGGTTGCACTTAGATTTGTGCTTAGGCCATTGGGCAACTTGGCAATCTCGATCACAGTAATATTCACATTTGCATCTGGAGCATATGCTCAATCTTTGTCCAATTTCACTAGCGTATCTAGCACAGTTTGCACATACAATTGAGTCTTCCTGCTACTCCCGAAGATCTCTCATAATAATTTTTGATTCCTTTTTGTTACAAATCTTTTCAACTATTGAACTGGAAGAACCAGGAACCTTGCATTCAGATTTGTGTATCTTCCATCCTTTTGCCTGACAGGAGCGGTTGCAGAAAAACACATCAACGCCGGCGACACGACAAGGGGCGCAACGGAGTACTGCTCCTTCCTTGTTGCAGGCTGCACATGGGCCTTTAGGTTTCTTCTTAGTAGTTGTTGTAGAGGACATGGTTAGATGATGGACTGCAGCACTGAATATGATGATACAATGATTTAGATATAGGTATATCAATGATGAGAACGAGGAGTTGCTTCACGTTTCACGTTACTTTGCTCTCTTCTATGATCATGTCAATACTGTTATTTCAGTCTGTCGCTATCTGTCAATGGAATTCTTTAGCACAATACTGATTTGGTCCCACCTAGAAAGATTTCTTTTCATTCACTTCCTTATTAGGTGACGTGAAATACACGAGAAGAGTAAAACGATAAGGCTCGTAAAAGCTGAGTGGATATCAATGACTCTTTATAATGATAGAATATATGGAACTGAATCTAGAATAAAATTTATCAGAATAAAGTTACTTCCATTCACCCATCATCCTCATTGTGTAGGTTCTGATAATCTCCATTTCGGATATCTCTGCAAAAGGATTTGCATCCAAATAGTGAGAAGGTGTGAAACCAACATCGTTCTCCTCGTAAAAAGCTCTGACTCCTTTATCTTGCATAACTTCTACAACATCTTTTACTGTAGGTTGGAAAGAGCAACATATTCTATGGAGCGTATGCTTGTCACTGCTATTGATATTCTTGATCCAATTACCTTGTTCTTCCTTGCTGAGAGAATCAAAATCTGGATATTGTAGGTACAAATCATCACACAGATCATGTCGACAGACTATTCCTCTATTCCAACGCAAAACTGTTTGTCGAGGAACGTGTAAGATTTCCAGCCCTTCGACACCTTGAAACATACTACAATCTACTTCTCTACAACTTGGTGGAATAAATAGACTCTTGAGAGCGGAATCTACAAATGCATCATCTCCTATGAACTCCAAGTTGTTTGATAACTTGATGTAAACAAGACTAGAACAGCCACATACAGCAAGATCTTCAACCCGAATCACAGTGTCGGAAAAAATTATTCTCTCAATGTTTTTGCAGTAGAAGAAAGCTTGTTCTGGAATCACTGTGACACCTTCTAATACAATTACTTGCTGCCATGTTTGCCGTTCATGCCACCACTTTCTGAAAGATTCTGATCGATTTCCAGGATGTCCTGGTTCAAAATACTCGGTACTCAAGTCATAATCGTAAATATCTGAACCATCGTAGAATAGGGTAAATAGACCACCAACGAAACCAACCTTCATTTTGGATGCAACACTGAGATACTGACCACCTTGCATGAAAGGAAGCGTTTCTATTGTGTTTGGTGGAATAATACCTTGCTTGTAGTTTCTAACAATGTCCACTTCTGTGATGTCAGTAAAAGGATTCTCTTGCAAGTACTCAACAGGCGAGATACCAATAGAGTTCTTTTCATAGAAAGCTTCGAGTCCTCTATCTTGAAGTATCTGATGGATAGCTTCCGCTGTCGGTTGATAAGCGCAGCAGATTTTATGAAGTAGACACTTGGGACTATCATTAATGCTCTTGATCCAATTCTTTTGATCCTCCTCACTAAGAGTTGAAGCAATTTTTTTCAGTTTTGTATCTTTAACTGCATTTTTACATATACATACTCGGCGAGGGACATGGAAGATTGTCAAATTCTCGTTACGTGCAAATGAATTCTTGCCAATGCATTCACATGTTGGAGGAAGAAAGACATTCTTGAGATTGCAAAAGTCAAATGCCTTTTCTCCAATGTACTCCAGATGTATCGATAACTTGATAAATACAAGACTTGAACAAAGTAAAAATGCAGATTCTTCAATTCTAATCACCGTACTGGAAAAGATGACTCTCTTGATATTCTTGCACAAGTAGAAAGTACCGTCTGGAATTATAGAGACCCCTTCCATGACTATTATTTGCTGCCATGAATATCGCTCTCTCACATATTTTTTACATTCTTCAGATCGATCTTCCTCGTTGTCCAAAGTACAGTAGTGCTCGTAATTCATGTCGGCATTATCTATGATGGAGCCATCGTAGAAGAGAGTTAGGAGACCATCGACTTGCTCCACTCTCATTGTAGCTAGATAGAATATGTACCGAAGTATGTAAATATCGATATCAGGGAAAATGATAAGGTATATTCTCTATCTCATATCGAACGATGCTGCAAAAAGATTTGTCTGCTGCTGTGCACTCTTCTTTTGCATAACTCTTGCTGCTCTCTCTTCTGCTCTTCTTCTTCACGACAAATACAATGACGCTTTTGCTTTGTTACATAACCGTTACGTCGAATATAACCGTTAGTAAAGGTTGAAGTAGGAAGAACGGCTTTACTCCTACGACATGAAATCTGATCTGCGAATGTATTACAATGTAACTGAAGTAGACGACTTTAAACTTGTGCACTAGAAGTGATATGGAACTGCTGAATTTATTCAAATAATATTCATATTCATATCAATGTGTAAAGCAGGCTGCCGATGCACTCTTTGAAAACAATTAAATGAGATTATTGTGTCATTGTGATATTTTTTTAAAACTTTATTCTCAAAATAAATTTACAATTAGCGAATCATATTTTGTACCCGTATGATTCGATTTTATCTTGTTCTACCTGAAGGCCCAAATGAACCTCCATTCTGAATGTTGGTGTACTCTCTAATGAAGAATCGGTGGCTTCTAATGTCCCAAGGCTGCTGAGATGGAGGATCGTGCCCAGCTACAAATCCTACGAGGTTCATATCATTAAAAATCCAAATACTTCCTTCACGGCCTCCAGAACCACTATCATCCCAAACCTTCTTCACAAATCTACTCTTTTGCAAAAAGTCCTTGCAGACGCATCTCATGATTCTAACATCTGGAGGATTCTCCGTTGTTGTTCCTACGAAACCTAGAGCAACAAATTTATCACTTGGAGGGATTGGCTCCCAAGCATAAAATGGGTTGTTCCCCTGTGTAAAAGACCAAGCAAGACGGAATCTAGCAGGTCTTGGCATAAATTTGTCCAAGACATGTTGCAACCAACCACTGCCACCAACAAAGCTTCCTTGAGTATCAGTAATCTCAAGAGTAAGTCGATCCTTTCCGTCTCTTGCAGGACTATCGTATCCAGTTCCAATG